TCAACTAGACAAGCAAATCTTTGAAAAGCCTGTTGCACTTTACTAAATCCATAAAGGTTAAGCTGTCGAACGAAACTTTTCATACTTGTAGTTTCAAATACTCTGAAAGGGGCCTTTCTTTCCAGAACTTCTTTCTTAAAGAGTTCTTCATTAATCACTATAGAAGTTCCAATCTCATCCCACCAAATAGACATAAATTGACCACTTTCAACTATTTTCCAGAGTTTTCTGGGAAAGGTCATAGATCGAAAATCATTATCTTCATCTGGTTCAGGGATACAAAATGTATGATGTGCTCTTCTTATCGAGGACTGTGCAGACAAAGCCTGAAAAGCATTTTCTTTGATTTCAGATCTCAAGTCTGAGGCCCCTGTCAATGCGTGATCGCACAACAGAGATCCAATGGAGGTTGTTGAACCAGTTGATTTGTCTGTAGAAGAAATGCTTTAAATATCTGAAGAAACATGTGCCATCTCAAATAAACATTTCTTCAGCTACTTTTCTTACCTAGTTTTGAACACTGCTGCCTTGGCAGGCCTACACTGATAAACTACCCAGATCACCATAGTGTTTCTCAACCTGAGTAGCTGTGACATCACAAAACGACTGGTCTCCTAGCAAGTAAACATAACATTCAGCCAGTGTTTCCTTCTCACTCTTCAAATTTTATTAAAATATTGAATGGTTATTTACACAGTATAATCTGCAAAATCTTATTGCTGCTGAATTTTTAAAATAAATTTTGGAGGTCCATGGCGTAAAAGTAATTTCCTGCTTTTTACACACACATTTATTATCTGATTGATGAATAAAGTATAAGACCTGGTAAATGGTCAATGCACAAAATAAAATAAGCAAAAGAAATAATTTTTTAGTTTTGGAATTTGAAAATGAAATCTGTATAAAACCTGTGTATAAAAAAATGAACTTGCCATCACTTCTGATTAAAATACAACAATGTAATTTGATTTTAAAATAAAAATGATTACTTATTTGTATGTTACACAAATAGCTCTTTGATAATCACATATATAATACATTTTATAGTCATAATTGAGTGTAATAAATACTATTTTATTTAGTGTCTCTTTAAATACATACATTTACAAATTAAAATTAGATTTTAAAAGAGAACAGGAGATCCACCAAGATCGTCTCAATGAGTGTAAAATGAAACACTTCTAATACAATGCTATAAGTAAAATAAATGAGGTTTATTGCTTTACCACATATGATACAAAAGAGCAAATATCTTAATCATATATCTTAGACCATTTTTCTCCTCACTCCCACTCTTCGGCTTGTCAGTTCTAAGAAGAAATGGAACTGCTAATTTTTGTTTGTTTGCTTGTTTGTATTATAATCCAGACACAGCTCTTGTTAGGTGTTTTATTAATGTGTTATTCTTTATTATGTTGTGAACACAAATTCCCAATCTTCAGTATGGAAAGTAGAGAGCCTTTATTTAGGTGAGAAGTTTACAAACCAGGGAAATGCAGCCTCTGGTGAAAACCAAAAGTGCACTCCTCCAGACCAAGGAGAGATGGCCTTTTACAGTGAAAATTTTAGCCAACGTTCCTGACTGGTCCTATTTTATGCAAATGAGGAATCCAAATCTCACATTTTAATGAGTCCAAATTGCACTGCCTGATTGGTCAGAATCATGTGCTCTGACTTGTTGTTATGGATTAGTTCTGATTAGTTTAAATGCAAATGAGGATTGAATTGTGCAGCTCTGGTTGGATGAGTCAGTAAGTCTCAGTCTATTGGTGCAAAGGTAAAACCAGAAATTTCTTTATTAATGGTTGACTCAGACAGAAAAAGCACATTTCAGGAGATCAAAAGTTCAGTCTATGGCAATTCCCCAAAACGCAGTGTGAGAGGCCTCTGTCAATACTGACTACTAGACTCAGCTTATGAATTTTGGCCTGGTTAACCACAAAGAGTCTTTCTTGGCTGATATATTTCTCCTTGCAGTTCACAATAATTTAAAAGGCAGTTGTTTTCTCCACATGCCACTGTTAGCATGTTGTCTTAGTTTAACAGAGTTATTTTAAATTTCGAAATTTTGTGCATTAACAGTAAACAATTAGATAGATTCTGCTGTAGTAAATTTTAGTAAATTTAATCTTATGTAAAGTGATATCCTTCCTTAAAAATGAATTGCATTTAACATAATCCATACTCAATGCAATAAAATATTTTATGTATTTGAACAAATATCTCCTTAACCTAATATATCTTTCTGTTTCAGTGAATTTATATTTTCTTCATAATGAAATATCAACAAAATTCACAGCACATTACAAGGATCATATACCATGAATTCACAGTACATTACAAGGATCATATATCATGATCAAGTGGAATTTATTCTTGGAAGAAGGGATAGTTCAACATCTGCAAAAAATAAATGTAATACCTTACATTAACAAAATATAGGAAAAAATGGTAATTTCAATGAATGCAGAAAAATAATTTGAAGAAATTCAACTAACTTTTATGAATAAAACTCAAAAATTATCTATAGATGAAAGATAATAGCATAATGAAGCTTATATGTGAAAACGCCACAGCTAATATTATATTCAGTGGAAAAAGACAGGAAGCTTTTCCATGAGGTCGGGGGTAAGACAAAGATTCTCACTCTTGCCTTGTTTTTCAAAAAGGTAACAGAAGTTTTAGCCATGGAAAATAAGAAAAAAAGAAAAAGAAAAGAAAGAAAAAAAATAAAGTTGTAATAAAAGGAGTAACATTGAACATTGTCTCTGCAGATGACATATTTTATGTATATAAAACCCCAAAAACTCCTCCATAAACTATTAGAACTATTAGAACTCCTCCATAAACTATTAACAAACCAATTAAGTAAAGATGCAGAAGACAAAATCAGTGTGTTAAATATATTGTATTTATATACATTAACAACAAACTATTGGACAGAGAAGTTAAGAAATTAATTTCATTTTCAATTGCATGAATATTAATAAAAGACAGATAAATACAACAACAAAATATTTATGCAAAAGAAGGTATAAACATTGATGCAAGAAATTTAAAAAGACAAAAATAATTAAAATATATTTTGTTTGTAGAGATTCAAGTCATCTCTAACACACTTTCAATAGCATTCTTCAGAGAAATAACAAACAAAATTTTAAAACTTATATGAGTCACAAGAATCCCTAAATAGCCAAAGCAATTCTGAGAAAAGGAGGGCAAAGTTGAAAGAATCACACTTCCTGACATCAAACTATATTTAAAGCTATAGTAATCAAAACAGTATGGTACTGGCATAAAAACAGACACATCAATCAATAAAACAGAATAGTGAGCCCAGATTTAATAGTTTTAGTAAATTTGAATAACCACATGCAAAACAATGAAATTCGATTTCTACCTTAAACCATACACAAAAACAAACTTGAAATATATAAAATGCTTAAACAAGAGACCTAAAACCTAGAATAAAACATAAGGGATAAGCTCCTTGACACCGACCTTGGTAATAATTTTGGACTTGACAACAAAAGCAAAAATAAATGCATAATAAAAAAACGTGTTTTTATAATGCTAATAACAAAATATCAGAAAGAACAATTCAGAAAACAATTCCATTTCCAATTGTATCAAAAGATTAATTAATTAAAATACCTAGGAATAAATTTAACCAAGGACAGTAAATACATGTACACTGGAGATAATAAGACAATGATGAAAAATGTTGCTATAGATAGTATGGACATTTTCTTAATATTAATTATTTCTGTCCTGGAGCACGATCTTTCTATTTATTGTGTCTTAATCTTTTTTAATCATTGACTTAGGAGCACACTACCGAAAGAAATCTACAGAGTCAATACAATCCTCATCAAAATGCCAACAGTATTTTTTTACACAAAAGGGACAAGCAATTCTAAAATTTGTATGGAACTGCAGGAGACCCCAAGTAGCCAATTCAATCTTGAGGGAAAAAAAAAAAAAAAGCTGGAGGTATCACCTCCTTTTACTTTGTATGTGAATATATATGTTATAAATTGCTCCTTCACATCAAATTTCCCCTTCAAGGAGCAGAGAGAAATCTTCACAATTTCTCTTTATTCAAATTATCACACCAAATGGGAAGCTCACCCACTAGCAAATCAGAGCCCAGCACAAACGCCATTCTGTTTACAACATTAAATTGTGCTCAGACTATTCCTCCATAAGAAACTGCAATTCTTTGTGGGATATAGATTGTGGGACATTGGTTCTTTAGAAACTCAAGGCTCCTTAAAACTCAATGAGAATAGCTGGATGCTTCCGTGTGATTTCTTAACTGTAGAGGAACCTAGTTTTTCTCGATTACTTTCTAAAAAAAATAATGGAAATATTTGCAAACCATGCTGTAATGAAAAACAAGAGGTTAGTTTAGCTTTGTTAAAAATAATTATTTAATTTAAAAGGATAGCTAACACATGATTAAATAAACAATAAGAAAACCCAAGCAAAAATTTTTCTCTTCTCTCAGTGTGAAAAGACTGTAAAACGATAAGAAATAGAAGACTCACAAAAGACTGGTAGCTTTGCTTGCATAAGACTTTAAAAATGTTTATGCATTAAAAACTCCAGTGATAAAATTTTAAAAAATAGGAAAAAGAAAAGAGCTCACAATAAACCTAATGAAGAATAGTGGCTCTTCTTCATATATAAAGAATTCATGCAAATCAATAATTACAGTGTACAGACAGAGACTATACAAGCTAAAAAAGAGGAATTTAAAATATCTGATAATAAAGAACATCCAACCACATTAGTAATCAGAAAACTGCAAAATTTAAAAACTAAATTAGTATCATATACTGAAAAGAAACTAATTACTGGTAATTGGGCATTACTATTGCTCTAATAGAATTCGAAACTGATGACCTATTTGAAAGACAACACTCAGAAACTTTAGTTTCACTGTGATGTTTTTCTGCTAGCAGAAAATTAGAGAAAAAATTAAATAATCATATAAATTATTGTGGGTTACAGGATATATAACTATGTACTCATAAAATAATATTCACTGACACTTTTCAGAATTAAAAAATGCTTATATTAACTGTAAAAAGGAAAAATGAAATTATACATTAAATATGCCAAATTATAAAACTCCATTCACATTAAAAAATTAACAACAGTACACCAACATATAAAGAAGATTATTTCTGGGTTTTATTCTTTATATTTTTCTGTATTTTATATAATATTTAGTAGTCTAGCAGTAGATCCAAGCTACCTCTATATATAAGAGCAAACTTTTATAGCTGAGTCTCCATTGTCCCCTTCCCACTAAGGGCATTATTCCTGTGCACATGTATAAAACCACGATATGCTGTTAGTATACAGAGCTTATACAATGTATAATAGCATATGTATACTGTAACAATATATATGTTAATATAGTAATACTCGTTGATTGGCATATTATTATATTAATTAATGTAGC